ACACATGGTTTCCGCTCAGGGGGCAAAAGCTGTGTTTTGTGTACACCGCCTTTTTGTGGCGCGTTGCGGTTTTATGTTTGCCCGACTTTCAAGTCGCATGACTTTGATACATATTATATATAAAACAAGTATATAATACATATACATGCCCAAGAAATGTAGATACATATTGCCTACATGGAGTGTGTACGAGCCAAAGACAGCGAAGTCGTGTTTCCCACACGGATCGTTGGGCTTCCTTTGGGCTGACATGCAAGCTTACGCTCGTCCACAAGGTTTCCACTGCATCCACGTTCACGCCCCCCAAGCAGCCACGCCAACATGTGAATAGTTGCGCTGTAAGTGTTAACTAAGACTTTGATCGTTCACTCCAGAGTAAGATGGCCTGCACTGTGTGACAACAGTTTAGTCTATATTGCTTTGCACAACTATCGGTTGTGTTGGGTAGCGCCGCCAAATAAGGCATGGTCTTGAAGGCAGCCGGCGGGTTGAATACTTGGCGGGGCCAGGTCCCTCCAAGCTTTGCCAACAACAATGGGATATTCTTCCCCACTGCCACTGTGCAAGCAAGACCAAACTGGCATCTCCGTGCACGAAAATGCATCAGATTCGAAGTGGTCCCATTACAAAAAAAAAAAATGAAGAGAGGGATGATTTCCCAAAGAGGCCAGTATGGGACACCGCACGGACACCGCACTGTAGGAACTGAGCGACCCAGAGATTTCAAGCTGCCCAGGTTTTCGAGGTGACGAAAAACCAATAAGGATTGAAGCAGTGGGTATCGAAAGGGACGCCTCCAAAGCGGCCCCCCAGGTCCAACTCTCTCGCATTGGAGGCCTTAGCTTCAAGTGCGCCATCATGGGCCGCATTTGTCAAGGCGGGTAAAGGTCTGGAGAGGTGTCAGGCAGGTTCAAACCTGATTCGAAAGCCAAGCCCGGAGGAACGATACAAGGGCTCTACTCACTGGTTTAGGGATTAGAGTGCGGGCACGTCGGAATATGATACTAGATACTTGTACTGCAAATCAAGCAGAAGCAGGCGTCAATGAGCGAGTGTGTAGATCACTTTTTTTGAGAAGATTGCCGAGGGCTGTGTCCTCATGTGTTTGGAAAGATCGGCGAGGCAGCAGCTAGGACCATGATGCTTGCGTTGCTAAACAATAACAGGCAGATTTGACGCAGGAGTGCTTTCGTGGATGGCGCACATTCACTTTGCAGACAGATCGAGTTTTGCGGGTGGAGCAGATTGGAGCCCCCAGCACAGCAGGGGCAATGAAATCATCGAGTCGAAATGATTGAGTTGCACCAATATGATGAAAAGGTCTCTACAGCTTGCTGAAGGCAAGCAGAGCATTTCCGCCCTATGAGAGATGAGATGAGTCAGACTGGCCTCATGAGTGGATTCAGAAGTCGTGCTCAAGGGTGTACGCCTTTCACATGGGCATGACGTGTCCTTCCACAGCCCGCTCAGCTTCTGATACGTAAGCTATTTACGAGCTGACTGGTCGATTTGTTAGATGTACTGGTAGACAACACAACTTGGATTCTGAGACATCACACAGCAAAGAACATCAAGATAGGCACATAATGCAAGGCAATCACAACAACTAAACATACCAATGCAACCCGTAGAAACAATCAACAACACTATCTACAAGACTCATCCAAAGCAACCAATATAGCGATCAGAGCAATCAGAATCAACTAGGGGAGCTCCAAATGGGTGTGCCAAAATTAGGGAGCCCCCTTTTGGCCAAGACCCACCATTTTCAGGGCTCACTCGTAGGACACACCCGGTTTGCCCGCAAGGCAACGGAGGAAAGTCCACAGCGGCACCTATGCCAGTGGCAGTCGGGGCTCACAAGTGAGGGCGGCAGAACCAACAAATGTGGGGGGGGGGGGGGGTCCTGAGACGGCAGTTTCATGTTTTTGTGTCAATTGGGGTGCTACCTGGCTGTGCACAAGAACTCTCCCGGCGGCGGTATATGCCGCGTTACGCCCTGTTCAAAACTGATGGCAGCTGAGAACTGAGTTTTGGCGGTCAGCTTGCCTACAGATTCAAAGGAGTATCCCATGACATGGCAGCACCCTCGCCTGATGGTGGTTGATGTTGAGATGTTTTTATGACAAGCTCTTATTCAAGGTAGGCAGACGCCAGAAAGAATGCTACCCGAAACATCTGAGACGTTGCCCTAATGTTCCCTCCATTTGTCCCAGGCATTCCACGAAAAGCTCAGTCAACACACCTCAGTTGTAAGGCATGCGCATTGCTTGCTGAAAAAAGGGGCCTGGTCATTTAGTCTGCGCATCTCCTGACTTCACCCAACACTCGTGCAGTCAGGAAATGCGCAGTTGCCTTGCCTTGCTGGGCCCCACGTCTTGGCTGAGCAATGCCTTGACTGAGACATCCGGCAAGTTCATGACGAAAGGAAGTGTTGCTCCAGCGTATTGGTGCCCCAAAGCTCAGTCAATTAGTTGCACCCCTTTATCCTGTTGCTTTCAGTAGAATCCGAACAGCGCATTACACACCGAAAGGCGCATTGTTTTCCAATTGTCCAACTAGGGCACTTCTTCGCCTCTGAGAATCCTAAGGTGCCAGTGGCAAGCTTTGCGACAGGCAGGAGATACCACTCCGGGCGTGACTGGCGGGAACACATCAAAGCAGAAGTTATGTCAGATACTTGAGCAGGAGAAGGTTTGGGGAAGGATTGCTCCACTTCTAGTGAGACGTTTTCAAGAACCCTAGGCCTCGCGTTAGGCGAATGCGACGCAGCATGTCTTAAGCAAGGCTGCTGCGACGGAATCAGCATACCACCGACAGCTTGATGCACGATGATTGCGTGTTTATCATGACTCTTGAGTGCATCACAAGCTCATAGGTGTCATAGCATATCTCATATTCCTGCCATCACCTCATGATGCGGTGTCCTCATGTGTGTTGTCTTGATCACCTTATTGAGCCAGCTCATGGAAAGTAGACCTTGACTCCGTGAGGTGTGTTCCGTCAATTCAACCATGGCCGCAGTTTTTATACTGGGCCAGGCAGCTCGGCGGCGGATGTGCCCATCCCGGACGATGATGATGATGATGACCTGTGACGCGAGCAGCGCGAGCGGCGCGAGCCATGATCAAAGCTTCCTGCAGGTTTACACGCATTGGCCAGCCTGGGCAAGCCTTATGTGGGCTCTCATGAATGCTTACGCATGATTGGCGTTCATATTTGGGCATAGACTGGTATGATGTGTTTGATAGCCAGCTAGATAACGGAAACATGATACGCTAGAATCAGCCGCTCAGAACCACATGTCAATGTGCTGCCTTCTTATTTTGTTGCTGTAGATTCGTTTTGTCAGTGATGTCCCCACTGAATTTGGATGAGCGTGCACGTGCTTGGTAGCCTGCCCACGGCCCACGCAACAAACTAGCAGAGGCTTTGGTGGACGCTTGATTTGTTTCACCCCTGTGTCACAATCCAGGACAGTCCCAATCGGCAATGCATGCTGTCTCGGCATCTTGAACATGGGTGATGCGAGGGGTTAGTTAAAATTAAAGAGCCCCTTTCGGTCCATTTTATTCGATCCTGTGGGTGGCACTGAACTTGACCATGAGGGAAAATTGACCCATGAGGCAAAATCTTTGGAGATCTTGGTCACTCAATGGTTTTGGCAAAGCACGATTGCTAGAATGCGGGACAGGGGCAACGCACACTTGCGATATGTGTTTGACATGTCACAGGCTTGCAGGTGTCAGAGTAGTAAGAGGCTAGGTCAGATGGCCCAGTATCCCTGAAGACCGAAGGCATTGTGTTTTTTTTTAGCTGGAAGTGTAGGAATACCCCCAAACCTGATGTACCACCAGGTCCCCAATTATAGAAACTGCCCGCGTGGCAAGGCAGATGCGGGCATGCATGGTCCTGGGCACGTCCTTGGCGAGTGCGCTGCCCACCATAAGCCGGCGCAAAGGAGAAATGGCAGAAGAGACAACCGAGAGGAAAATGACAAGTCGGTTGGGATCTTTAGGCTGTTGGTGGAGAATGGTGGAGAGCGTGTTGGCAGTTCGAGGGGCAGGGAGGGGGGGGGGTTACTGGCGGGCGGCTTCCCAAAGTCATATTTGCACGATCCACTTATTTGATGAACTGGTTGGAACAAGCGCATACGAACCGTTTGTGGAAACCGGAAACCATCATAGCCTTGCTTCTTTGAGACCCACCAACATGGAAGGGTTCCAACTAGTAGATCATATTTTAATCCGCAGCGATTAGTTTGTCGTCCAGCTACAATGAAATAGTGGGGGTCCCTTGTATGTGAAGAATGAGGAATTCCTTCCTGATATGTGGTCAATTTGTTGATGACCCCATCTCAAGCTGGAACCTAGTGTACTTGGTTGAATTGTTAGTCCATCCTATTTCATGGGATTTCCATCTTTGAAATGCAGCGTCTCAGGTTATTGATTGAATACGCGCTCTGGGAGCTTGAGCCATTGAGAAAGGCCAGGTGAGCCTCAGGTGTCATGATACCATGTCGACATGGGCCTGTTGTCAGTGACATTGTCCTGACCTGTGATGTATTGCTGCGCCCCATGTGCGAATCAGAGGAATTCCCCAACAAAGAGTTATCCTTTGGGAAATCGCTCCTAATGACAGCCTGCCAACCCTTGGAAAAACGGCCACCACCTTCTTCCAACAGGTCGAAAAGCACAGAACGCTGCGGGTAGCGCACTTCAACCCCTAGACTCAGAGGCCTCGTCCAAGTATTGGGGAGGGGTTATGTGACGCAGGTGTTTGTTCAAAATGTTAGACGATAATTTCACAACACATGTGTATTCATGCCTGTATGCATACACATGTGCGCAGACTTAGACCATATACAGTTCTATAAATTACATATATATATATATAATATGCCATAGAGTTCTCACTGAACATCCCTTTCTGCACCTTGACTCCCTGTGCATGCGTCACACAGCTTCTCTTGGACTCCATCTCACCCACATTTTCGCCAGGCCTCGGGCAGCTTGGCGGAGGCCCTCAGCAGCGCCATGGGCGAGCCAGGCCGGGAGCCTCGCGAGCCCCAACACAAGTACAAGGACATGACTTCATGAGGGTTGGATTCCACAGAGGGAGCAAGCCTGAATCTGAGTGTCTCCTTTTTTGAAGCCGCTTGTTCGGGGGGAGGGGGGTTCAAGAAAGCCAGCAGGAAACCAGCGCCCTCCGACTACTGCCCAGAAGGTAGTATATAGATAGAAATTTCCCAAAACGGCCGTAGTTAGAAAAACTACTATCAATTATTTTATTTGCGAGATGCCCATAGTCTAACTACTACTAGCTACTGCTTGCAACGGGGAGATGCCATAGCAGGGGTGGTAGCAATCAAGGGGTGGCAGCAAGTGCAGCAAGCGCCTCACAACGTGTCACCCCGTGTCACCCCGTGTCACCTGTGTGTCACCCCGTGTCACCTGTGTGTCACCCCGTGTCGCCCCCGTGTCAGTATGCTAGAACAACAGTAGATCGCTGCGAACAACAATAGTTTTAGCGTGTCACCCCGTGTCACCTGCGTGTCACCCTGTGTCGCCCCTGTGTCGCCCCCGTGTCGCCCCTGTCACCCCGTGTCGCCTGCGTGTCACCCCGTGTCGCCTGCGTGTCACCCCGTGGCGCCTGCGTGTTTCACCCCTTGTCACTGTGTCACCCCTTGTCACCGTGTCACCCGGTGGGCTTGTCTTTTGCTGTTTGGGACCACGTGAAACGACCGTAGATAGGGTTATTTTATTTTTGGAAGTACTGCCAAATACCCGGTAGTTCCGAAAATAATATTTAGACGGTACTAGCAATCATTTTGGTCGTACTTCCTTGCAGGTCAAGATGGAACAAAGGGCATCATGTCTAGAGGAGTCTTTCGGGGGACCCTAACTTGGGGACTACGCCAGAGTGTTTGCTAAATGAGGCTGCATTCAAGTGGAATCCAGAAAGACACCACAGTAAAAGGTATTGGACTCGTCTAAAAGGGTGCACAGAATGTCACCATCATCCTAAAGTTATTTTGCAAGGTCATAGCACCGTGTTCTTCTCTTAGGATGTGAGAGTGTTGCTTTTGGTGTTGTTGTAAAAGAGTCTTGAATGACGATGTTGGTAAGCTGGTTGCTGGTTGGTGAATAGTTTGAATTCCAACACATACCTCGACTCGACTGTGTCTTATGTTTTCAACCTCACAGCGTAATCTTTTGTTCCAAGGCAGAACGGCAGCCTCGGGTTTGTTGTAGGACGCCCTCCTCGGAACGCGCACGAGAGCAACATGATAGGTCATGCCCATGTGTCGCACAGGACCAGGACCGCAGCTGCTTTCTCCGCCTGTGCTCGGGGCCACAGCTGGCGGGACAGAGACTTGCAACAGCAGTTCAAATACAAATGATGTGGGTGCTTGTCACCCCAAACGGATTTGCGGGAAATCCAGCAAGAAAAGGTCATCAAAGTCTTTTGGGTCAGAACCGGGCCTGCCCAAGTAGTGTTCCGTGTTTGTTGGTCCGTCCAAATGGGCTGTTTTCATTTGGAGCCCACAAATCGTGATAATCATTTCGAGTATACAAGGGAGCCAAATACCAGAAATTAGCATTTGTTTGCTGAAGTTCTATTGGTTTAGTATTGATTGTGATTGGCCCAGTCCTGTTTTGACTTGCTGAGACTCTAGACGCAAGTTGTTGTTTTGTCACCCGCAAAAAGCTTTCTGTTTTTCTCACTATTGTTCAGGTTGGGGAAGGACCGGCTTTGTTTGCTTCCCTGTATTTGTTTTGCATCTATTAGCCGCAACCCAGCATTATGAGTGGATGCACTCGCTTTTGCCTGCGCATGTGCCCAGCTACCCTCACCCTCTCCCCGCCCAACGCCTCCACATGCCATCAGTGGCTGCACTTTGCAGCATGATGCAGGGTGGGATGATCCAATTTATTATGACCATTTTATTGTGATATATACAATATGTACATATGTGCATATCTTGTTGTTATCCGTGTTCTTTGAAAGGGTGCAATCGCGGCAGCTTTTGCCCATCTAGTGTGGCCGCAAACAAGGTCTTAGCGCAAGCGATTCTCGGGGGAACTTCCACCCCTAAGACTTGCTGTGCGGCATGTTGGCCTTCAGGAGGGTAGCTGCTTGTTTCACCCCCCCCCCCCAAAAAAAAAAAAAACAAATCAGTTTCTCGGGGGGAGGTAGGGGGAGAGGCGGGGGGGAGGGTCGGGGGTTTACGATCTATGATGAATGTTCCTTCCTTGGACGTCCACGATCTGGCCGTATGAAATGGCCCATCAAAAAAAGCTTAAAGAGAAGCCACAAGGGAATGGGGTTTGCTGCAAATGTTTCCAGATCCCCGTTTGAGCACCCGGTTCTTTCAGGTCGGTGAGTCGAAATTTCACCCAGATCCACTGAGGCCAGCTCAAGAGCTGGTGCGAAACAGCTCGGACGTGTGGGCCCCGTTGGCCAGGCTTCAGGCTCGCTGCAACCATGTTTTTGGGGGTGTCCTTTTTGAGGAAATCCTTTTTTGCAGATGTGTCAAAGAAAGCGCAAAAGGAAATGACCCACGTTCAAGTTGTCGTCATAGTGGCTAAATCGATATCATGTGACTGTCAAATGTTTGTATTGAGCCACTGTCAGCATTGCAGCTAAGTCATTGTGTCCCTTCAACTTTAATTGGAAGGGATGCTGCTCGCTCAGCGGCTCTTCGAGAGACGCGGTGCATTGTGGTAGGTGGAACCTATGAGTGGATTGGACACCCGAGTCAGAACGGGGACAAGGGCGAAACCTGACGTGTCAAGATGCATCTGGGGTGGGGCTAGCAGACCAGGGCATGGTCTATGTGAATTGCCCTGCTCAGTAGCAGACACCAGCTCTTTTCTTTCAGCATGGCGCAGACCCCCATGAGGTGTGGTTGCATTTGGCACAGACCCGTCGGATTTCAAACTTTGCTCGCAGGGCTTCATAAGGGGACGTTGTCAAACGCAGTGGTACCCTTTAAGCTTTATGGAGCCCTGGTGTCCATTTCCTTGTGTCCCTGGGGGTTCAAGGGACGGCTATTCGCGACTGGCGACCAAGGCCTCCTCCAGCTGTGCGGCAACCAAGCTCGAGTTGGGCATTTGTCAAAGCAAGTTGGCAAAGCGTAGACACCCTCTAGGGGGGTGTCAAGAATTGGCAGTGGATTTCCCATAACAAACAGAACGTCAGATCAGTGGGGTCGAGAAGGCCCCAAATGTTTGGGTTGTCACCAGAAAACATTCACCAGAGATGGCAATCCTGTTCGTTATTCAGATTCACAAGCCAATCTCTCACATCAATTGCAAGACTTCAAGAGGAGTTCACACTTCCAAGTCTTCTTGTGGCAGGTGTTTCTTACTTCAGGATTCACGAGTTGCTGTTCCAGTGTCTTTTAGCGACGCATTTTTTGGACAGCGAGGTGCTTCGGAGAATGATCCAGCTGCGGCTTCTTTATCGTGTTTGCGGGACAAGCTGTTCAAGAAGCGAATGTGGTAAGAGCCGGAATCATGAAAAGTAAATGGCTGAATTGAGCGGGTCAAATAGGGTCGCAGCGTAGATTGAACCAAATGGGTTTGTGATTTCCGCACAAAGCGACAGCTTATGGATCAGGGACCTGAAATGGTGGGAGCCTTGAACATGTTGTCAAAACGTATAAGGTGGGGAAGATGCACAGCATCAATGTAGCCCTTCAATCCTGGAGTTTGTAGGTGGAAGGCAGTGTTCTCGTGCATGTGTTTCTCAAAGGCAGGTTGATGTCTTCAAAGCCAGTGTCCAAGTTGACTCCAGGCAGCTTTTTGTCCATGGAGCCTTGATTGCGCACGAATGACCGCGGCCTTTTTCGCGGAAGGGTTAAAGAAGGAAAGCCAACCTGACGCCAACATCACGCCACCATGGAGGGGTCCCTGATGACGTGTGGCGCGCGCATAGGGCGCGAGTGTGGCGAGGCCTGGTGGATGAGTACATCCGAGCCCAGGAGCTGCAGCAAAGCCCGGAGCCCCGGAGGGTGGGCATGTTTGTCAGTGTGTTTGTGTGTTTTTGCTTTCATTCGTATGTACCTGGCTTCGTACGCTAACCGTGCGGCTTGACAATGAGAGAATCGGACTCCTTTTCACGATCGCATCTATCACTTTGTTTGTTGAACTCACGTAGTCCTTGGTAATTCTTTAGTTTCACGGATACAGGGTCTTCCAAAAGCCGTCAGGAAGGAGAGGGTAGCTGATCGTAATGCACTTGGACTTGGGAATGCGTATGTAGCTGTAAGGAGCCCGAACGAGTCCTTGGATGGACTCCTTCAGGATTGCATGTACAGCTCTTTGCATGAGGCTTGTTTGATCGCAGGCCCTAGATCGCCGGTCACGGCCTGCCCATGGTCACCAGAGGAGGCAGGGCAAGCCAAGTCGAAAAGCCTTGTGCCAGTTTTAGTTGCGCGCGATCCTTGAACACATGGTAGGCTAGTTGTTGGTTCCAGATTGTCAAAATTCCAAGAGATTAGGTGCCTTTGGATATTGCTTAGATGGTACTAGTAGGCAACTTTTGCTTACCCGTTGAGGCTTTAAAAGGATAGGATGAGTGGGTCCCGAATCTTTGTCGTGCCCTGCACGCCGATCCTCCTTCCGAGCGGGTGCTTGTCGGCCAAGTGCTTTGTGGGAGACGGCACAAAATTGCACAGCAGATTTGCACGCCCGTTTTTGCACAAGTCATGGACAATCGAGCAAGCAACAGGATGCAGAGATCACACCAGCCAATCATGGCTGAGCATGACAGGGGCCCTTCGAGATGGAGCTGCTTGAGCTACCAGAGGCTGGGGCATACAACGTACGGCAACATGTCTGGCATGTTTCGACCACCGAGATGTTGCTCTTCACTACTTCCAAAGCAAATGCGCATGCTTTTGATGTTTGGCCGTTTGCTTCCGAACTTTCTTTGTTGGATGACATGTGGAGCTGCCACAACGCAGACCTTTTTGAGTGTCATTTGTCCAGATTCCAATTTGAGGGCTCAGTATTTGGGGTTGTTGTTTTTGTATTGGAGATCCCCGGAACTGCGATATGTCATTAGTTTCAATGCCAAAATGGTACTTTTAACAAGAGTGTCACACCCATGTATGTGGCGTTCAATGCTTATCAATTTAGTGTTGCGGCCTTTTCCTGATTTAACAGCAACCAGGGATTCAGTGAGATAGAGCAATGGTGAAATAAGGGACTCCGACCTTCCGCAGTCGACTACCCTTTCCCTCACAAGCATGGACGAGCATGGAGGCAGAAAAGCTTCTGGTTTGGCCACTGTTTCTTGTGGAAGAACCTTACGTCAGGTTCTATGTGCACTATAGTATCTCCTGAACCCTCTCGGACTCCAATTTGCACGGCGACCTGTTTAGAGCCTTGGATAGGGCTCTTGTTTGAAGGCTGATCGGACGGGGTCATTACCTCTGTTTAGCTGAAGCTTCCCTTAAGCAAGGTCAACGCAAACGTTCTTGGCGAAATGTCAGCTTTACAGGCGGACGAGACGGAAGAGATGGAGGAGAGAGAGGCGCTGAGCATGTGAGCTGAGCTGTTGATGAATAGCTTGTTGCTGAGAGGAGCCGATTGCTTGCAGTCGAGCAAGCCGTGACCACGGCTAGCTGCCAGGAGCTTCTGAACATGATTTGAGACGTGGCTAAAGAAGTGCGGCAAGACCTTTCCACATCAACTCGCAAGAGGTTCCGGGAGTTCCAGTCTCACGAAACGGGCAATCCATGAGGAGGTCTGGTTGTACGCTAGTTTGGACCGTTGAACCACTGTCAGTGACATGCTGGGCTGAACCTCGTTTACTCCAACTCGTGTTTAGCACTCCAAGGAATATGCCGTGGATGTGCAAGGGCCTAAGGGCATCGGATTCTGCTCCTTTCTCAGAATTTCCGTTAAGGCGGTGAGGGGAACCAATAGGCCCCAGGGAGCAGAAGGAGGGGGCTTTGTTCAACTGATCACTGTCTGAGCCTGGGGGCCCAGGATGGCTACCTTCTTGCTACATCTTGGTACTTGAAACGGTTGACTTTTCGTTTAAGACCAGGGGCTCATTGTTTTTAAATTGTGATTTGCTTGCTCCAAGCTGCACAGGTGGAGCCGCACGAGGAGCTGGGGCCTCAAGCGCGGGAGTTTTTCCCTGCCCAAGCATCGCATTTGGCACCAACAAACCCGATCAAATGCTGCTGGCTCCTCCCAAGAGAAGATGGAGCTGGGAGAGGGGAACATTCCCTTGCGTTGGTTTTCCATTGAGCAGGCAGAATATTCAGAGAACCCACCTGCCCTTTGCGGATGGCTGTTGACCGAGAGAGCCCTTGCACAGTTGTTAAGTTTTGTTTGCAATCGTGGGGAGTTGCTGTGTGCTGTGATTTCCGAGCCCACTTCCACTTGGCCACTTCCGGGCGCAGTGAGCATGTTTGCCCTTAACTGCTTCGAATTTGCAGCCTTCCCTATTCATGTGACTCAACAAGAAAATAGTTCCCTTGCGATAGGCCTAAGTTTGGTCAAGTGACCAGAGTTGAACAGAGAGTTTTGGTTTCGAGCAGAGCCATTAAGGTGCATCAAAGCAGGTTGGATTCTTGGAGAAGTGACGACTTACAAAGGAACCAACTTGAAGCCATCAACTCGAAGCGGGTCCCAAGCTTGTTTTGACTCATTCGCATGTTGGGCCGCTTTGCGCGGCGTGTCAAGTCACAAATCCCTGAGGTCAAGCTCGCAAGAAGCGCACGAGGCGAGACAAACTGATGCGGGCAAACAGAGAGAGAGAGAGAGAAAGAGAACGATAAAGAGAAGAGATAAAGAGAGAGAGAGAGAGAGGGAGAGAGAAAGAGAACGATAAAGAGAAGAGATAAAGAGAGAGAGAGAGAGGGAGAGAGAGAGATAGAGGTGGCAGGTGGGGGGGTGGGGAGTTTTGTTGCTGCCATTTGACATGGTATGACGGATCGCCAATGTTGCCCATCACGTGCCTCTCATCCCGGCTTGGGGTCCTTGACAGCCTGAAGGTTATTTGCATGATGGCGCACGTCCGACCAAATGAGGGGTATCCGATTGATGCAAGAAGGGCTTGGAGCACACATCTTGCTTCCAGCAGTGCCACTCCTTCATACGGTGCTATTCATTTTAGCGCCAAAGCCTCCAATTTGCAGATATGGTTTCCTTATAGCTTTGACAGTTTATTGAAATGGGCTGTGCTTAGATGACGTGTTGGTTCATGCAATGCCATGTCAGGCTCATCACAGCTTCTTACCTGCCATGGATGTTACCTCTCAGTGTGGCCATTCTGTTAGCAGCCGTAGCGCAGGCTGTCGCCGTGTGCCTCTTTGACCCAGAGGCCAGCCTAGCGCCCGGGGCATACTAGAATGTGAGCATCGCCCGATGGTTCGGGTTTAGATGTCGAAGATGCTCATTTAACATATGTAAGTCAGCGATCATACAAACAGGTGCGACATGAGTATGTAAGGCAATGTGTATATACATGTGCACAAATGCTTATGTTTGCAGGGGCTTGAACAGGACAATTGATTCAAGTTGGAAGGTGCCATGTTGCAATCATGTTAGCTTGAGCCAGAACTTGTCTTGTTGTTTTGTTTCCTGATGGGTAGGCAACCCTTCAGGCAGTTTGGTTTCCCATGCAAAACTACTGGCCTCCACCAAGGAAGATGTCAGAAGCATATGTACTCTCAATTAGTACAGCCCCCGATTCAACAGACGGTTCCTTTTCCTGACCCTCTTTCAGCCAATACTAGATTGAGGGCACCGGCAAAGCTTGGCCAAATGACCCCTGCCTATTTCTTTTAGCACCCACAGCAGGCTGTAGCCAATACTTCTGCTAACTTTTAACAGTGGCTTTATTGTCCATTTGTGCCGCCGACTTTACCAACGCTGTGTGGTGACGCTTGCTCAAGTGCGTGTGGTGCATCTCTTTATCAAAACGTAGTCGACATATCCATGCAGCTCATTTGGATCAGGCGTTCTGCCCGAGAGGATCAAGGATCACCCAGCACAACCATATCTCAGATACGCTGAGCTGGTGAACTCTATAATATATACTCTTGTAGATCTTCTGGGAGCAGCTTTCCCCCTTCAAATGTGCGAACTCGCTTGGCCCGTCAACTCAGCAGGATGCGCCCCAATGCTCCACGCAGGCCTTGCCGGAGCAGCGAATCCTGGAACTGTGTGACGAGGAGCCTTCGAGTCACTCGGGCATGGGGGTTGGCTCAAAAGAACGACTGATGCAAAATAGCGCCCCCAATCCCAATAAGGCCATCGCACCCAGGACGGCTATGTTATAGGATACCAAGGACACATTCCAATGGTTGCCAAGGGCGTGGGTCTACGGGATATGCATTAGGGGGAATACACGTAGAAAATGTGGGACCACCAAACAATGCCGCATTCTGCAGTATGCAAGACAAGCAAACGCTGCCCCTAGCGAATGCAACCACCCCGCAATGGCACCGGTAAGGATGTTGCCACTTCTGATGTGGAGTGGTTAGGTTGTTTAGAGTTTGTTTAGTTGTTGTTTCGCTTGGGGGGCTAGGGCGGTTTCAGGGTTCGCTTGAGGTTTGTCTTGGGTTGTCTAGGGTTGGCTTGGGATGGGTTTAGGGTTTGCTTCGGGTTGGGGAATTCCATTCGCACTGTAGTACATACATAGATACAACATGCCACTATATGTGTATTTTGCTGACAGGGTTTGCTGCTTGGCAAATCCGCTGTCTAGGAAGCGTCACCTAGTATTGCCAAGGATTGGCAAGTCTCAAATGGTACTAGTATCACCAATCACTGAACGAGTGGCCTTGCACGTCTCCTTTAATGTGTGGTCAGAATTAAGAAGATTAAACAAAGGCTGAGGTGCATAGATCCCTGATGTCAAATGCAGAAAGCTTCCAGCCCTGCTGTTTCTGGGAAGGGCTAGATACCTTTTCAATTTCACTCAGGGGTTGATGGGTTGTTTGCTTGCTTGGTTGGCCTATTGGCTGTCTGAGATTCCTGGTTGGCTGCTTGGTCGGTTAGCGAGTTGGTCGGTATGTTTCCTGTAAGATTGCTGGAGGCTGCGTGCACATTGGTTGGGCGTAGTGACGGAGAAGTTCCGCGTCCAGCAAGACCGGTTTGACAGTTCCCTGTTGTCTCAAACAACGCAGTGTTGGGCTGCAGGAAGCCCAAGAATGGCATTTCCCGAAATTATTGTTTGGAATATAGCAATCTGACTCGTGCTTTCCTTGTTTGGGATCCTGTATTTCAGGTCGACGATTTCTTGCGTTTGACCTTCCTATTTGGGGCCAAAAGGTCCAGTTTGTCACTATGAGCACCTGATGGTTGGTTCCAACTTGCGTTTTGTTCTGCATAGCTGAGGCCTGATCTCCCAATCGATGCACGGCCGAAAGCATGTCGGCCCTTTTTGCCTTATGGCCTCGCTCTCCAGGAGGCATCTGCCAGTCCGCAGCCTAGAGCGGGGATTGATTGCAGGTGGTCTTGGAATGCTCTTGTTGGGGCTTTGTTGATCACTCCCTTCCGTCACAGCTATGTCTCAAAGTGGGAGAACCGTGTTGGATTCTTGTTCAGGCAAACGCAAATGGCACCCACTTTAGGGAAGAGCTCCTTAGTTTGGGAGAGAGCCGTATTCAGGCCACATTGAAGGACTGATTGACTTGATTTGTGCACTCGGCATATGGCTTGCTTGACCCCTTTTCTTCAGTAATTAGAACTAGCGTCAGAATAAGTGCCCAGCCTGTTTGCTCGGGCAAGTGCCTTCTCCTGCGTCACGCAGACACACAATTGCTTTGCTCCAGACTGTTCTTGCCCAACAGCTGAAAGCTTTGGGGTCTCAGCCCAGATAGGCTGTGGGGCGGTCCGGGGCGGCCCTGAGGTAAGGTTCCACGAGGGTTCCACGAGGGTTCCACCAGGGTTCCACCGCATGCTGTTGGGGATATCACCTGAGCTTATTTGTGTTTTTGTTGTTGACACTGCATGCAACAATGCAACATCACCATTTTTGCATTGAGAAGTTGTCGCTGATATGTATACCACATACATATATATATATAGCATATATATATATATATAGTATATATATAGCTTTGTTGCTTGTGCAGGGTTTGGGTTGTAGCACGCATTTGCGCGCATCGCATGAGAAGCTGAGGACAAGAAGTCGAGAAGCAGCTGCCCTGCCTCGTTTGTTTGCCGAGACTCCAATTCAGGGAGCGGCTTCTTGAATACAAACTCCGCAAAACTACTAAACTAGCATGACCCTTCAACACGTCACACATCGAGGAATGTCCTTCTGGTGGGCAGTCATGGATTTCCATGTTGGTGTTCAGCAGGCTTCCGCGAAGACTAAGGCAAGTGTTGGACGTTTTCTGAGGGCAATGAAGTTGGTTCCAACTGAAATAGCAGTTCCAGGAATCAGTAGGTTTTTCGTTTGAATGACAAGGCAGAGGCGTTGCTGCTTTGAGCCGAACTGTATTGACTGCCACTGTATTGACCTAGCGGGAGTGTGCCGGTTCGTCCTAATTCAAGTGGCTGTCCTTTGGCTGCAGTGATCCCCAGGCAAAACGCGTGGAACTCTGTGTAGATGTTCCCTGTTTTCCCTGAAGATGCAGTTGACGCTCTGCTCAGAAAGCAACATGCAAGCAAGGTCGACAGAGCAGCCACTCAGACATCAGACAAGGATCTCAGACATCACAAGCCGTGTAAACGGAAACCAGACAATCCGCGTGTCTCCGCTTAGATGTGGCTTGTTCTCAGCTTGATGGCAGACGCACGTGGGGTTTTCGACACTGGCTGGAAGTTTCCAATGACGCCTTCTCAGCTTAAACCTTTTGGTGACTTATGTGACACGCAGTGCAACCCACAGCATACTTCAGAATACCTTGCAAATTGGAAACATTGCCCTTATTCGGTGTTTATGCCACTTTTTTCTAGAAGGTTATGTATACCTGGAGAGTTGGAAATAACTACCAAAAGGCCTGTGGAGGCAATGTCCAACAGTTGTCCTAAATGGGGATTGTGTATTTGTATTTCCTCATATTTCATTATTTTGAGATTTCCCAACTCCATGCTCCCGGGCATTTGGGGTTGTGGACAGCCAGGTTCCACGTGGAAGAGCCGCCGCCGAAAAGCACCACGGCGGGCCAGGTCGGGGGCAAAAACAGAGCTGCATGCGAGGCATTTTTTCCGGAGAGTCATAGGTTTTGGCGAGGGTGCCGCGAACAAACCTTGGTTGAAGTGAAACCAAAAGACAACCGCCAGTTTTGGCGGGCCCCTACGCAAGCTGACACATCCCCATACACGGAGCTAAAAATCACACTCAGCTCAACAGCACGCCACGACTCCAATTTTGAATTGTTTAGGCCCGTTTAGGCCCAGACAGCATCTGGAGGTGTTGGGGCCTGAAGGACCAGTCGCTTGGTGGCACCTGATAGATCCCTGTTGCTTGGTGGGTTCCCCAAGCGGGTTCCCTTGTTCTAGCAGGGTCACTGGTCTGACTTGGTCCACTTGGCTCAACATATTGCGATAGTTGGTGCAGATAGGCTGGAGTCCTCATGTCACTTTGTGGTTTGAAACGCCGGCTGTAGATGGGAATGTGTCACACTGCAAAGGAGCCAAGTACTTTTGCAGCACCGAAAGGGGGCATAGGGTCTACAAGATTTGATTTTGCGTTGGTTATCGCAAGTTTTGTTAGTGTGTTCCAAATTGCCAAAGCTCTCGAGAAAACCAGCAAAAGCAAACAGCACAAGGTCGCAGGACTTAAACAGTGGCATGGGGTGAGCAATTGTGGTTTCTTGCATTTGTTTTGCTATCTCAGGGTGCTGCTTGTTTGTTGTCCCAAGCAGCCAAGCACCTCAAGACGTGGCGTACATGTGCCCGTATGTTTGCAGCCATGAGCCAGGTGCGGTATCAGGAGGGCAGCTCCGTGATCTTCTTCCAAGATCCCGCCGGGGTGCAGATCGTGGAGGAGGGGCTCGGCGGTGGGGGCAGTGTTTCCTGAAGGCGTTCTTTCCACATTTGTTGTTTAGCGGATAAGCTGCTTGCTCGTTTCCAGCTGGCCATATTGCATTGCAGGGTAGCCTGCCTGCAGTTCTTCTTTGGTAGCTCTCCGTAAACATGAACTGACCGCTTGAGCAAGAGATATGAGCAGCTTAGTTTCATCATCAACGGTTTGTCAATCACTTGCAAGAGGAGATTACACAGCGCTACCCAATTTCCCGGGTCCCGTTGGTGTATGTGGCTTATGCCGTAAAGTGCGGGTCACTAGAAGGAAGGACACCGACTGCCAGAAGCCTGCAGCTTGCTTTGGACCAGTTCGACTCTTTGAGCCAGACAGTCCAACTCGTTTCAACACATTGCCACGTCTCCCACCTGAAGCTTTGAGCTGCCTGGCTCATCATCGTGTGGCTGGGTCCCACCCGCATTTGCCTCCCATCATGGGCTCATTTGAACAGACGGATGAGAACAATTCCTCAGACTGGATCCAACAATCGATTCCACCCGTGAGGAAGGTTAGATGAGATAAATAGCTTGAAAAGGTCCAATTCTGTTTTGTTTGCAGCTTCTTGTCGGTCCACAAATCGAGCCATGCCATGTCACTACAGCGACCTCACAAAGATGGCTTTTCAACCATGCCTTTGATGAAGGCTCTTTGGACATGTGTGGAGATACTGAAGAGCAGCGTCATCGTGGCCTCTAACCATTTGTCGAGTGGGTAGCAGACCACTAAAAAGCTCTTCCTTGCCTGAGCTACGGTGTTTGGCGAAAAACGGAGCTGGGATATCTCCATTCGGGTTTGTGGATTCTTGTCATGTGCTGCAGATCCATTGTTACTTGGGCAACCAACAGTTGATGTCGAAAGGAATCGCAGAGACATTCTTTGGCTTAGGTGTGGTTTACGTGAGAAAGGGTTCCCATGTTGGGACGAAGTTGCAGTCAGAATTCAGATGACTGAGAAGCCAATCGTGCTAGGGTTGACTTGTTTGTCTCGCGCAGCCGGCAAAAGTTAGCTGTGCCTCGGATATCTTACGCTGTCCAACTGTGGCCATGGGAAGCGGGGAGCCGTGTCTTGCAGAGCCCTGTTGTAGTGTTCATGGTCGCATGCTTCAGGCACTTCAAATTGATACATAGAGCAACATTTGCACATGAACATGCAGTGGGACATTCCGAAGCCATGGCAAGAATCAAACAAGAAACTCATGACTGCTGGGCCCCACGAAAACGTGCGCAGCTGTGCTTCACACTGGAGCCAAGCTTCCCAAGTAAGAGATATGTTTATGCAGACACGCCCCAAACCCATACCTCATAAGGCTGCCCATTTTAACCTATCCCCAGCCCTACAAGCCTACCCTGAAGCATCTCCGTCTACCTTCACTTGGTTGCCAAGGGGCACATTGCCACAGTTGGGGGTGAAACAAGACTCTCCCAAATACTTGTCTTTTTCTTTGGTTGTTCTCTGCCACACTCTTCTCTAGGGCAACAGTGTTTGATTGGTGCAACTTCTCACTCGAAACGCATCCCACTGTGAATGCCCTGAACCAAGTCGGCGAACCACAATACAAAAAGGACAGTCAAGGATTCCAGAAAATCCCTGCTTGTCAAACCTCGTCTTGAAATTTTGTATTTTTGTTCGCCTTCGCCCCGGGCTCATGGCGCTCTCTCCGAGCCCCTTGCTGGTGGCGGTGCCCTGGGCCGTCGGGCCGCAGAGAAGCCGCGCCGAGAAGCCGCGCCTCGCGCACGGCGCGCACGGCGTGCACGGCGCGCTGGGCTGTTTGGCGGCGGTGGCTGCGGTAGGACCGGAGGGCTGCAGAGGCGTCAAATTAAATGCCAAGAAGCGTCAATGCCGTCAACGACTCGCGTTTTCTTATGAGCTGTGTGGCTGGGGAGAGCCGATGGGAGGACGCTACCCAGGGCACCCTGCCAAGATGCCCCAAAAGGGCGCCACCCGGCTTGGAGGTTCCCCTGTTTAAGCCATAGCAAATCAAACATAGGCTTTCGTCCTTTTGACACCGTCAAAGATAACACGTGTGACCCCTAAACTCAAACAGCAGATGGCTCAGAAAAGTCCAAGGCAGCGTCTGTCTATGCCCTTTTGGTAGCGAGTTGTTTTTCAGGATATGCTACTTGGTTTGAAGCAATTCGTGACGCAGACGCTTGAATCACATTTGATTCACCTGCACCCCCGCCACTTGTTTTGTGTTGAGCATACGCTGGTGCTGGAATTGAAGCCTGTGTTCGTCATAGGCTGTCATAGCTCAAGATGTGCCAAGCATGAATCCCGGCCTTGCGGAGTTGCTCGACTCTTGAGCTTCTCTCGGCAAGTGTCAAAGGGTGTTTTAGGGCTTTGCCTCAGCAATGCTGGCAAACCATGGTGAACCCTGGCAAAGGTTTGTTCTCCTTGACTTGGAAGGACGCGGACTTCGAATTCCGCAGCGAAGCTTCGGGCTGCAGCGAGCAGTTGAGCTGCTTCAAAATGATTTGAAGGTGGGAGTGTGTGGCTTGCATGACCTGCGACGTGTGCAAACCTTGGGCATGGTTTCTTCCCTGTTAGCAAATTGTGTGCCACACAGTCAGTCAAGAGACAAGGCGTAGTTTGCGTGTGGCTTTTTGGGAGTGTCGTAAGTTTGCCCACAGGAACTTTGAACACCCATACTCCCAGTTGAATCATGACCATCAAGCAAGGGCTGTGGTTTTACACTGGGCGGTGGGATGCGCACAGGTGGAGGACGCTGAAGCACAGCAGATGGTCAAGGAGCTCATCAGCCGCGTCCTTTGCTTTGTTTGACCATTATCCCAAAGTGGTGCAAACAGGGCAGGGAGGTTTGCGTGGTGAATAACACTGGAGGGTCCAAACTAGCTTGAGAGATGGAAGATGCTTCATCCAGTATCAAGCCATGAGAGTTGGATGAAGGGATCAGATGGGCCTTGATGGGCCTGTGAGAAAAGTCAGAGCTGTGTGTCGATTTTTGCGTCCATCCGACGACTTTCGCGGATTGTTGGCAAACTAAAGGAATCAGCTACTGCAATCAACTAGGTCCATTGCGCCACTTGTGGAAGAAAGGAATCATTGCCAGGACATTCAGAAGTTCGCAGTGGCCCGAAATGGCGAAGATGCCACTTGGGCACATCTTGCCTGTGGTAGTGCTCGCGGCAAGGACTACAGCATGAACACAGCTCCAATATATTCAAGCCAGAATAAGACTGCTTTGAGACTGGGGCATAGCTAGAGCACAAAGGTGACACGACCAGAAGTTGTTTTTCGATTCAGCCATTCGAAACTAAGCGGTTGCTAGTCCTTGCTTTCCTGCGTTGAAGCAGTACATGCTTTGCTGTGACCATGGAATTGGACATGCTAGCAAAGAAACAGCGTATCGCAGAAATCCGTCAGTGGCAGCCACAACAGTCTCTATTTATTCTTTGAATTGTTGGTAGTTGATCCTTTCAGCTAGAGACTGCAGCCCTGCGTTTTTGCATTGATATGGTGCTGTTTTTGGAAGTTACCCCTTTCTGATGCATTCTACAGGGAGACCAAGATTCAACCACTCATTTTGGTGGGCTCCTCTATTTCGAGACAGTGTGTGGAAGTCTGAGATCAACGGTGGCCGCAGCGAGCACTTCACCCGGAAGCTGCTGCGGGGCTTGAAGGTCCATCAGACACTGGAGCCGATGCTCAAGCAGCCAGGAGGCGATTCGGCGAAAACCCAACAATGTGGGGGTTGATCAAAATGCTATCAAAGGCCACAACCATTGGTCTTCCGCCTGGTTTCACTTTGAAGCAACACCCAAAAAAGTACCATCGCAAAAGGCATACCACTTTTTCAAGGTTTGTTTGAAGGGAAACCAACAGGAAAAAACCATGAAAGCACCACTTACAGGGTTAGAAATCCAGATTCTAACACATACCCAATGTTGCGAAAAGTCTGCAATTGTGCGGGTTGCAGTTTGATACGACCTCTGATATGTTTAAACCTGACTTTCGGTTTAGCAAGGACTGGCCCTCATATTGGCTCGATACGGCTGGCTCTTAGGGATGAACGAGCAGGAGTGGCCAAAAGGAGATATTCCAGTCACTCAAAAGGTGTTCAGTGAAATGGTGCAATGTTTGGGTGGGATATGTATGTAGATACCGTGTATGTGTAAAAACATATGGAAAATAGAGTTGAATTTATTGTCCTGGAAGAACTTCTGGCAAGGGAGACAAGTCGAGTTGAGGGGGGGCAGCAGGGGGAGGATACGCTGCACACATCCCTGCAGGTAAACGAGCTCGGTCCATGATGAAGGTCCTTTACTAGGGGTTCCCTCATGTCATGATCAACCTTTGGAGGCTCAGTTGCGTGTACAGATGGACGGGTGGACGATGGATTGAGATCAATTCGTGTATTGTTCGTATTGTAAGGATCCTTGTGGATCGGTTTGAAGACGGCATCAAACCAGTTGTTTGTTTATTTGCTTGTTGGTTGGTTTGTTGATTTGTTGGTTTGTTTGTTTGTTTGTTTGCATGATTGTGTGTTTATGCTTGTGCTTGTGTGTGTGTGTTGCATGCTTGCTTGCTTGCTTGCTTGCTTGCTTGCTTGCTTGCTTGCTTGCTTGCTTGCTTGCTTGCTTGCTTGCTTGCTTGCTTGCTTGCTTGCTTGCTTGCTTGCTTGCTTGCTTGCTTGCTTGCTTGCTTGCTTGCTTGCTTGCTTGCTTGCTTGTGTGCTTGTGTGCTTGTGTGCTTGTGTGCTTGTGTGCTTGTGTGCTTGTGTGCTTGTGTGCTTGTGTGCTTGTGTGCTTGTGTGCTTGTTTATGTGTTCGTTTGTTTGCTTGCGTGCTTGTTTGTTTGTTTGTTTGTTTGTTTGTTCGTTCGTTCGCTTGTGTGTGTGTGTGTGCTTGCTTGATTGTTCATTTCCTTATTTTTGTTTTTGAATGGTCTTGGTTGTTTGCTTTGTTGCTTGCTTCCCTGTTTGTTCGCATGTTTATGTGATTGTG